CTTTTTCTAAATGGCTATAGCGGAAGCAAATGCTACAGTGAATTTCTCTTACCCTGTCCTTCACTGGACAATTGTCTAAGAGTTTCATTAACTGTAAATATCCTCTTTTCAAATTATCATCAGTAGCAGCGGAGATGGTAACTTTGGCATATACTCGATGGTCTAACTGGGTGCATTGAAATCTGAACCATTGGTCATTCCTATCGCTGGGTGAAATCGGAACACCATAAGAGTTGCAGACTCGACGTAGATATCGGGTTAAAATGAGTAAATTTAGTATAAATGTAAATGGGAGACTATCACCAGGCATCTAATAGGAGAGGGAGAAATCGCCGATTCGGAGAGACATTGATCGGGATATTTTCAATACTTGATTGGGACAAGGTCGAGTAATATTTAAAATGGTAAGATTGTGACCATAACAATAAACGTAAAAATCTTCATTGACGATTTTTGTTTGGGATTTTTTAATTTGGAATTTGTAAGAGCCAATTTGAATACAATCCGATAATTTCCAGAGTCCAGCCTCAGGCACCTTGTGACAGAATTTTCCAGTTTCAAAATTTAGTTTTTTTGTGGTGATAGTTTGATGTCAATAGGGAAAATTCGTTCTCGTCCATAGATTAGATAAAATGGGGAAGATTTAGTGTTGCTAATGGTTGCGGTGTTGTAAGCGAAGGTGATGCGAGGTAACATTTGTGTCTATTTGGATTTGTTTTCAGAGCAATAATGAATTAACATTTGACAGAGTGTTCGGTTTACTCTTTCAGTTAATCCGTTGGTTCGAGGATGATAAGTGTTGAAAATTGCAATTTTGATGTCATAAATTCACTTAATTTTTGGATGATTGATGAAGTGGAATTGGTACCTTGATCAGACAATATGGAGGAGGGGCAACCATGACTAGAGAGGATATTTTCGATTAAAAATTTTGCAGTTACCGGGGCGGTCTTGTGAGTGAGCGCCTTGGTCTCAACCCACCGAGTAAAATAGTCAGTGGCCACAATGATATACTTTTTGCCAGATGAGAAGGGCAATATATCGCCATATAGGCCAACAATATCGATGCCGAGCTTCTCAAATGGTCGTCCAACGTGAATCGATTTCATGGGAGCATCATGTTTAATTTGTTATTTAAATTGACAATCACGACAATTTTTTATGTAATTTGTAATTACAGTAAACTCTCGGTTAATGCATAACTCGATAAATGCATAAAATTGTGGGTTAAATCGCAGCTAATTCCCACTAGGTGGCGTTAGAATAGACGGTAAATGCACAGCCAAAGGCAGAAAAAAACTAACGCCATCTATTGTATATTAACTGCGATTTAACCCACAATTTTATGCATTAAGAGAGTTTGCTGTACTTAATGCATTTTTGGCCAATAATAGCGTTGCCTGACTCTGTTGTAAGTCTGGTAAATTCCACAGTGACCACCAGTCGGATCATCATAATAAGATTAACAATTCATCAATTAGAGTCTCAGGAACGACTTGAACCCATCGACTACCATATTCAGTGATAATTTTTCTTTCAAGAACACCATTTCGAAAACGATGATTATTGATCAATTTTGTTTTTGTTGTTTTATCCAATGAATTTAAATTTGATAATTGGTTAAGTTTGAGTTGAATGAATGGGTCACTCTGTTGCTCGGTCATTAATTTATTCATCTCCTTTGAATCTTCTTGAACCAAGAGGGTGAAGATATCATCCTCTTGTTAGCATTGTTCTAGTTTATCGTTGAATTGAGGATCATAAGTCGGGTAACGGCTGAGGCAATCGGCATAAATTTTTCCCGATTCGTAAATTATTGTAAAATCGAATGATTGTAAGGTGATGGAGTATCTCATAAATCTTGGAAGAAGTTTAGTTTTTGATCTGAGAAAACACAAGGCGCAATGATCGGTTTCAATTTCAAATTTTGACCCCGCAAGGGAATGACGAAATTTTTCAACGGCATAAATGATTGCCAGGCACTCTTTATCAGATATTGGATAGTTAACTTCGGCACCTTGTGATTGTCGACTAGCATAGGCGATCGGTTTCCATTTATTATCGTGTCGCTGAAGGAGAATCGCACCTTAGCCAAAATCAGAGGCATCGGCTCGTAATTGGATCTGGCGATTTGGGTCAAAATGTTCTAGGACATTAGTTGAACAAAGTAATTGTTTTAGTTTTTCAAATGCTGAGTGTTCATCTGATCCCAAACTGAATGGTGCTTCCTTTCGAGTTAACTGAGTCAAAGGCCGGGCGATCTGGCGAAGTCTCTGATAGTAACTTGCGATAATAATATGAGCAAAGGGCAACGAAGGCTCTAACATCACGAATCGAGAGGAATTGGTTAATTCTCAATTTTTCTGATTTTCTCTGGATAAGGCTCTTGGCCGTCTTCACTGACGATGTAACCAAGGTAAAGAATCTTTTTCTTGAAGAAGGTACATTTTTCAGGTTTTAGGGTGAGACCAGCGGTTCTCAATCTATTCAAGACTAATCTGAGTCTATTTGTATGTTCATCCATTGTTTTGCTGAAAATGATGATGTCGTCAATGTAAACCAAACAAGAGTTGTACTTGCGGCCAGCGAGACAAACGTCCATCAATCGTTGGAACGTGGCAGGGGCATTACAAAGTCCAAACGGAATCACTTTATATTCATATACTCCAAATGTAGTGACGAAGGCCGTCTTGATTCGATCAGGCGGATTAACTTCCACTTGATGGTAACCACTTCGAAGGTCGAGTAAACTAAAATATCGTGCACCTTGTAAACAATCCAATGAGGTGTTAATATCTGGTATTGGGTAACGATCCTTCTTCGTTATCGCGTTTAATTTGCGGTAATCGACACTGAGTCTCCAGTCTTTGGTCTTCTTACTGATCAAGACAACAGGTGAGGACCAAGGTGAGAATGACTCAACAATGAGGTCATCTTGTATCATTTCATCGATTAATGATTTTGTTATCTCTCTCTTAGTTGAGCCTTGGATGTAAGTTGCACAGGCGATCGGAGGATGATTGTCGGTGTCAATAGAGTGAGTGAATAAATTGGATCGACCTATTTCTTTTTGGGTCGTTGCAAACACATCTCTGAATTCACTAGCTAATTCATGTAATTTATTTTTATCCTCGTCGCTGACTTCACTGTCAATTTCGAGGTTCAATGAATTACTTATATTATCAACATCAACAGTATCAAATTCACTTTCGGTCATAGGCTCAGATTCACTTAGATCAGTTGCTTCGGTATCAACTTGTCTTGTTGGTTGACTATTTATATGAACTCTACCGGCTGAGCAATCAATTATAATGTTTGCTTTTGACATGACATCTTGACTGACTAGGACACTGAACTACTATGGTAATCGATCAATCACTTGAACTGTTGTTACAATCAATAGAGCTGAATTATTGTCGCTAATCTTAATTGTTATTTCAACTTGGCCAGGATCTGAATTGGCTTATCATTAGCTGCTAAAGGAATCGGACCTTTGTAAGGTTGTAAAGTTAAATTTAATTGATTAACTAGCTCTTTAGTGATTAAGGTCATATCTGAACCTGTGTCAAACATTGCCTCGACTTTCAAATTATCGACTTTAAGCTGTTGATGAATTGGAGTTTTTTCTTGAATATTAAGCAAACAGCTGAAATCGGGGGTCCCTCATCACTACTATAATCATCCTCAGCATCGTAATTACCTTTGGTAATTGCTCTGATGTGAGGACCTTGATTACTTTGGGTAATTGGCTCTGATTGATTCTGATTTTCACTTTGTTTATTCTGATTACGCTCTCTCCAATTTTGGTCATTGTTCGAATGATGATAATTTCTATTGCCTCTTCACCTTTGATTGTAAAATGGTTGTTGATTTGATTGAGATGGGAAACTCGATTGATTGGTTATTATTAGTTTGAGGTGCAAGAGACTGTTGATTAACTGTCGGCTGAGCTGCATAATTTGGTTGACTAATAGTCGAGTGCTCTGTCGCATTCTGTTGATTAGATTGCGAAGGCTGAGTGAGTTGACTGTTGACTGGCTGAAAGCAATTAGTCAGAAGAGCTGAAATTCTGAACCTACAGTTTTCTTCACTATGACCTCGATGACCACAAAAGTTACAGCTAATTCTGTTTGTATTATTGGTTCTTACGGTTAAAGCATTGAGTTTATTCTCTAATTGATCAAACTTTGATTGTAATTGGTAAAGAGTAGACAATAGTTTCTTTTCGATTGAATTTGATTGATTTGATTCTAGGCTAAGGACAAGGTTCGAGATGCTAATTCGAATTGTAGTAACCAGTCAATAACATCTTCATTGTCACCCTTAAAAGGTTCAATAGTCACATGATTTTTTAATAGGTTCGAAAGATTAACACTCATTATTGATGGATTAACTTGATTTGATTGATTTGATTGATTTGATTGACTAAACTGATACTCATTGGACTCAGAATCCAAAGGTTCAGGTCTAGAAATCATTGTAATTGAGAGATGAGAGCAAAATTAATCGCTAATTGATCAAGAGAGAAAACACTTAACAATAATCTAGATTAATTGTTTGAAGCAACTGATTTATGAGCTGATTACAGAGTAAAGCTCAAAGTCAAAAGAAGGTTACATATACTCGTTATATGAAACAAATGAATTTTAAACACAATTTATGAGAAAAGGAAATTAATCTAAGGTTAAGCATACAATTTTTGAAAGGATAAGGCGAGTGAAGAGAGGGTTCAATCAATCCAGAAGATTCAAATTCTTAGTCTTCACTGACTTGAATTCAGGTGATACATTTGTCTTCACTGACAAAATGTGACAAGGTGAGTCTTCACTGACTCGTTTTTCAACTAAATCTTTACCGGATTGGTTGCTATCTTCGATAATTGTATGAGTAAGACCTATCGATTTTAAACGATATTACAGTAAAACCTCTGATAATGGGACTGAGTGGAAATAGCTTATTCTCACTATTTACACAGCATTCGTACGAATAGAAATCATTTATTAATCAAAGAAATTTTCATAATCAAAAGTAACTTGTGAAAGTAAATCTTTCGAGGAACAACTTCCGGAAGAAACATTTGCAAATTCATTGAGAGTATTTTCTAATTCAATTTCATAATCATGTATCATTTCCGGTGTGATATCTAAATTGACGTAACCTGAATGTGACCAACAATTAGTAACAGTTTGACTAGTGATTTCTTTCCAAGCGATATCAATCCAATTAAGCGCATCAAGTAATGTTAGATTCTTCATGATTTCACTTAATTTCCCCATGTTAATTTCAGAAATGAATCTTTTTATCATGAGGTTAAGATATTTAGCCTTAAATGAATGGATTATTCCACTATCAAGAGGTTGAGTGAAACTAGTTGTGTTCGATGGTAGAAACTTGAATGTTATGTTTTCAAACTTGGAAAAATCAACTTTGTGTCCAGAGAAATTATCTAATAATAAAAGAATTTTTTTCCCCTGATTGATTAGTCTTTGGTTCCAATTTGTTAGCCATTCATCAAATAGACTCGTATTCATCCATGAATTTTCTTGAGATCGATAAATAACATTAACATCATCTAACCAACCACCATATGAACACCTTGGTTTTTTTGAACGGCCGATAACTAAAGGTATCTCTTTATCTCCTTTCATATTAACACAGAATAAGATGGAAACTCTCTCATTGAATATTTTATCTCCTCCGTGTTCATGTTTGCTGAAGAAATAAGTTCTGTTAGGAATTTGTCGCCAGAAAAGACCAGTTTCATCACAGTTGTAAATAAATTCAGATTGCCACTCAAGTACTAATCGAGGTATCACTTCACATTTCCATTCGTCGACTTTTCTTTTGTCAACACATTTACTTTCTCCATGAATTTTTCCGAGTCTTAAATTTGTTCTTTTTTTGAATTTTTCGAACCAACCATTACTACACTTTAAGTCTCTTCCAAGTTCGATCGCCTTTTCCTTTGCTACTTCCAGAACTAATTTAGTGCTTACACATAACCCTTTCGATTGACACATTAGAATAAACTCTTTCACTAGATTATCATGTACAATTAGATCCTGATTCTTTTCAATTCTATTAATAATAAAAAAAGAAAAAAAGAAAAAAAATTTAGACTCAAGCTATTGAAACGAATACAACCTTTACCTTGACCTTTTACCATGACCATTCTCGATTGCTGTAAGTATTGATTCCTTGTTAGCTAAACAACGGTAAAGAGACGACCGACCAATATGATAAATACTCTGTAACTGATTATTATCGAACTTATTTGTTTCTAATTTATTAATTAGATTTTCTTTCTCACAATTTAATAAATTTCTTCTTGGCATTTTGTGAATAGAATATGTAAACAAACATGATTACTCTTCTTTGAGGGACCGTATAATCATAAAGTCCCATTTTCGGAGAGTCCCATTATCAGAGGTTTTACTGTAATTATTCTAGATGAGAACCTAAGGTTAGTATTATCTGATTCAATTTGGTAATGGTTACCTTGATCTTTACGTGAATTTCAATGATGGAACGAACTATTTTAAAGGAAATTAGTCAAGAGTTAGAGTCAAAAGAGTCTTCACTAGATATTCACATTGATTTCTGATGATTTGTGCCATCCTCATGAAGAGTTGCGATTAATTAGATTTTGGAAACAAATCGATTTATTGATTTTCTTACCTTAATTGTTCAATAGTTTCTGGTTATGTTGAATTGGGTAATTTATTGGCTATTCTTGGTCCATCAGGAGCAGGTAATTCAGTATATTTATTAGCGGATCTGGTTGATTATTTGTTCCATTATTAACAAATTGTTTCTTTAATTATTTCTTTAGGTGCAACAACTTTACTCGATGTATTGACTGGTCAAAATTTAATGAATGTCATTGTCAATGACCATGATCAAAGTTTAATTATTAATAGTTTTGTGAGTTGACAAAACTCAAGTTGCGATACTTTGGTTGAAGGGCCTAAGAACATCTTCAGGACCTAAGCATATGATAAATGACTCTCTCAATTATCTTAAGTAGCCAATAGAGATTGTCCATAACGACTTTAATCGATCTTAATCTATTTTAAACAAAGATAAAGAGAAAAAAGAAAAGCTTGAGGAAGATGAATAATCTGCTTTACTTTTTCTTTTTTCTTTTGTTTTCTTTGTCTGTGATGATCGATTCTTTCACGGGAGTTGACGATCAATTTACTCGAATCGACCTTTCACAAACCCAATCATATTTTGTGTTTGAAGAGGAAACCTAGTGGTCACCATTTTCTTTTCTCCGTTTGAGTATAAAAGCAAAAGTCTTTGCTGTAGTTTGTTAGTTTCTTATAAGCGATAATTAAAGTGTCTCAAGATGGCCGAGCAACAATGGACATTGTTAGATCCGAAAGTGACAATTGTGAACCGAAAAAAATCTTATGAAATATCTAAACAAAAGTTATCATCGATTCCTTACTTTGTGAAACTATTTGCCGATTCTGATTGTGACACAACCAAAATAGAACTTGATCTTGATGAAAATTCATTTGATAATATTGTTGATTTTATCGTCAACAATCATCTATCAATATCTATGGAAAATGCCTTCTCAATGATGGAAATTGCTGATTATCTCGAAATGGACGATATCAAACAGAAGTATTATGATTGTTTCGTGTCTAATTTCAACATTAAACTATTGGGAGAGTTTTTTGATTTTTATGAGAATCGTGAATACCCTGAGAATTTTACTGAAAATAAGGTGAAATCTTTCATTGGGAAATATTTCGTTCCAATTTCCAACACAAGAGCATTTCTGAAATTTCCTGTTGCTCTAATTGAACGAATTTTAAAAATGAATTTGGTTGTTTCTTACGAGTATCAAATAGTTGAAGCTATTGATCGT